CTTGCGACAGCTGCTTGAAGGCACTGGGGGGCCGCCAGCAGCACGAGGTATTTGCCTGTCCTAAAACTATGCCAAGTATTTTCGGTTGAATCGTGGAAGCGTTCCGTGTAAAAACGGACAATAGACATATCGACCTCGTTAGGCCTTATTGAGCTCGATTCGGGGCCACCATAAGAGATGCATGTGAAGGGTGAACTTTGCTCTTCTGCTCTCAGGGACGAAAGTTTCTCGCTTTCTGATGCAGCATAGGCTACAAGATCGTTCCTTCCTTTATGAAAGAATATATATACCTTTTTTTTCTCAAAAATTTAGGGTGCCTTCATGTACGGTTTGCATAGGAGATTACACCTTACCAATTTACTCCTAACGATTTCTTTTTTTATTTCTTGTTTCGGAGTGCGCAAAAGCGCGTCTCGCGGCACCAGCTCTTAGCATTGACAGTTCTACGGCGGCATATTTGTTAGCGGCTATTTTTGCAGATCTTTTTCAGAGAGTGCGTGTTGTCGGCCTCGGGCACTATATTAAAATTGGCATCACCCCCAGATATAGACTGAGGCAACCTACAACAGTTCAGCCCTAACAAAGTCCGCGACTCTGCGCGTTCCGTGTTGCTCTTTCGGCATACAATCGGTACGAGATCACGTGGCTGCTTGTTCTGGCGTCGAGATGAGAGGGTGAATACTGCTCGTTTTTTTACCAGTTTGTTTTCTGCGACTACCTTTGCATGGATAAAAAAACTAACGTATGTTTCGTAGGTTAAGAGCGTCAATAATTAATTGTAAGTGGTAGTTACTCAAACGAAAATAATTTGTTGCACCGCCACTTTACGTAAAGAACTGTCTCTTCATTATAGGTCTTTCATTGCTTTCGTCGTTTCTTGCCCCTCGATAATTAGTTGTTTCAGAGACAAGAGAGAGAAAGAGAGAGATTGAGAGCGAGAGTAGTAAGACTCGCCTCGCCTGTCAAAAGACGACTGAGAAAAGGCAGCTGAAAACTCTTCACCAACACGCTCAACCATCTACATCTTCACTTACGTTTGTACGCTTATCTATTCAGTCGACGCAGGTGGTAGGGCAGCCTCCCTTGCCTTGCAGTCGAAGGTGTATAGCTTGATGAAGCAACGGCTGACGCGATAAGACGTGCACTTTACTGAAAAAAGTAGCTAGTTACCTTTGCTCGTTATTCGCACAAGTATAAACAAGTACGTTACTTTTTACTCAGATAATAAAAAAACGTGTTACTTCAGCTCCAATGTAACGCGTTACTTTCTCGTTAGTCAGAATGTGTAGTTTTTCTGAGCAGTAACCTCCTTCTAACGTGTTGCATTGTTAATGAGTTATGTTTGTGTTACATCTCTGTTTTATGCATGCGAATAAAACATAGATATAACAAAACATATACGCACTCTATTTGACAAACTAGCTGGTTGCTGACGGTTTGATCTCTTTGTGCTTTAGCGCAGAAATTTCGATCAAACGTCATATCTTAGACTCAGAATTTGCGGGTATGGGTGAGGCGGTGGGGTCACCGACGATCAAAAGCTAATCCCGCGGTGCTATCCACGTTTTTCTTTGCTTGCTTTTACACTTGGTATGAAGTTGAAAGGCTTCTTTCTTGGTGAGATTGTGCTGAGCCGGAATTACACAAGCATCATTCGGAGTGCACTGAGCAGGGGAAAAGTTGTCTCACTGTGGTTGTTGAGAGTCGTTTATCTTGTCCGCGTGGTAGCGGAGTGCGGATGGTAACTTTTAGCAGTGCCTGGCACGCAGTACAATGAGAATTCAGAACGATCCAGCTCAATATAAGGATTGGATCCTTTGGGCGTGGAGACACTGGGGAGATTCACAAGCAAAAAGCTTTCCGTTCGGGATTGTATTTTCTTCCTCTAAATTCCTGTGTTAAACTGTCCTACTTGTACATTCCACATGCATGCCGGCACCCTGTCTTCGACTATAGTTTTCACCGTCTTTAAGGGTAGAATTGTTTCACCGAATGGAAGCTGGACAGGGCAGGTACACAAATGATGGCAGTGAATATATCCCGAGAAATTTACCGAACGAGTCTCTTTGTGTGTGTTGTTTGAAGGCTTATCCAGATAGAGGGTATCATTCGCAGATATAGAATTCAGCAGTTATGTTCAGGGATAACTGTGGTTCAACTGAAACATTTTCTGCAGAATTTTTATTGTCTTCTTTGCGTTTTTTATTCATCATAATCCCAGGCGCGAGCCGGGCTGAGCACCAGGTTGGGTAACTTTTGTGTTGTACATGTTCGTCTTGAAAAGTAACTCCAATCTAGTTACCCATTACTCCTATAAAAGTTTGCGAAAATGTGTTCGACGGCATCCCGCACACTGAGCGTCATTTAGTTGCTTTTTAGAATGCAACCATTTAGTTACATTTTTAGGAGAAGTACCTTCTCCTAAAAAATAACTAAATCGTTACATCGTTGCCGAAAAACAAACTACTAGATACAAGTAACGCTTTATTTGCAACGCGTAACGTACAAGTCTAGAAGTAATAAATCTCAATCTCTATTTCTTAATTTTTTTTACGATAATGTTATACTAATGCATGCGGTACACTAATTGGCCCTAAGCGTTGTGTCATAGTTTACCCGGATCCGATGACATCCAATAAGGTTCATAAAAAATGGCGCAGGCGGTGTTTTTTCTTCCAGCTGTGCACTTTGCTTCGTGAAATAAAGTGAACAAATTTTCAGTACTTCAGTATCTTATCGTTTGATAAATCTATAAACCATGGTTTTTTTCCAAAATAGCAAGCTCACAACTCCGCCGTGCGATAAAAAATAAAAAAAATTACAAAACAAAACGGGGCTATTTGGTGTTGTCGGTACGTGCGCTACAGATTCACGTGAAATAAAGGAGCTAAGGTTAATAGACATTGAAAACGTAAGTTGTTTGACCCCTGCTGATATGTGCACACAAATGAGAAAAAAAAAACATCCAACGAAGACGCTTAAGACTGCCTACAAGTAGGAATGCGAAAGCGTTCCTACACGCAGCGCATTTCTACAAGCAGCGTGCCACGTCTTCCTTTTTCACTCGGCGCTCCGGCGGTGACATCACGCTGCCACACAGCGCAGGTGCGGCGCCTCCGCCGGCTCCACGGCTCCCGTTCGATGCATCTGCGTTGCTGCGCTTTTCTTTGTGTTTTATTTCTGAAGTGCGCCCGCTTTGACCTTGAGCGCCCTGCCGGCTTCTGTGACGAAGCATCTGCGTTGCTGTTTTTTTCTTCGTGTTTTATTTCTGAGGACCGTCCGCTTTTACCTTCAACGGCGCGTGCTTGATGACGTATTTTTATGGCCATCTTTCGGGCACAACGCCAACGCCTTTTCGTGTAATGGGACAAGTAAGGCTTTCGCTTTCAACGTCCTTCAGGCCTGTTGCTCTCGTCCAGGGGTCGCGAGCGCGCATTTAAGACGCGACCATGTGATGATTGTACCGAGCATAAAGAGGCGCTGCAGTGTTTGATTATGCTTAAGTATGGGTCGTTTACAAGCGTGTGTCAGCATCTTTGCACGCGCGGCAATAAAGCGTATGAAAGAAAAACTATTTAAATAAACACCAGAAAAAAAATGCGTCTTGCGCTTAATGAATACTTTTCTCGATGTTATTCATCTTGTTATTTTCGAAAATTTATATCAACCAATGAAATTCAGCCGCCTTGGCGCCCGCCAGCAATGTAAGAAAGCGTAAGACTCACAACTGAAAGATGACCAAAAAATATTAGATTTGGCTCGCCAGGGACTTTTCTCAAACTTGAAAGGTGCAAGCCTCTGGGTAAAAAAGATAAAACGCTTTGAGAAGTTTGGATGTTAACAGTATCGTTCCATGTGCATATTTGTTTTTAATTATATTTCTGAATGAGTGTCCTCCAACGACCGCTTGATCGATGCCACTTTCCCACGGCCTGCACCACCAACGGTAGGTGCGTGAAAACTCTTTCGGCTTAGCTCCTTGAGTCGCTGGAGGCGTAGCTCGTTGGTGGCACACTTGGGTAGTAATTCAGTGAAAGTAATTGCGTTACTGTCGTTTAAGCAAGAAGGGTTTTCTAAATGCAATAAAACACTTATGACAAAAGTAATTTTTAAACAAAATTAGGTATAATTACGTGTAGTATCAGTATAACTACGCAACTAGAACTTGAATTACAACTACTTTTGCAATGATGCCGAAAGACTGAAGATTATTGTTTTTTTGACCCGACGATTGATGTTCACTTTGTTAAAGTGCAACCTGTGCGCAACCCCCCCCCCCCCCTCCCCCCTCTCAAAAAAAAAAAATTAAAATGTTATTTTTACCGCAAAAAGAAGCTACTCATCGCCCAACGCTCAGTCACCGGCTAAACGCAGTGACAGCGGTCTGGCCGCAATGCCAAGGTTTCAGAAATATACGATATTTTATTCAAAAGATAGAAGAAATTTTCTAAAACCTTGAACTTGAAAAAAAAAAAAAAAAAATGGGACCAGTTCCCGATATTTAGACCGGGAGGTCTCATTCGTACGGAGACTGAGTGTTCGGCAATACATAGTTTATTTTAACGGCGAGAAAAAGGGTAATTTGTTTTTGTTTTCTCGTTAACACCCCGAATAAAGGCCGCAGTGCAAGCACGTTTGGGTGTAATGCAGGAGGACACTACAGGCTGCGTGACCTTTCCTGCGTTTTACCAAAACCATCGGTTCGCCGGCGCCTGGGGCATGTCTCAGCAAAATGAAAGCAATGTATGGTGGCGACGGAACAGACCACAGGTCCCGTTGCCTTCGCTTGTTTAGACCCGTCGCCGATGAATAGTCTCCATAGCAGAAACCCGATTCGCCTGAGATTAGGTATCTGCGCATGCGCAGTTTGACAGCAACGTCCCTGCGGTGGCGAGTCCTGACGTTCTCATTAGGACTCCCCAGCCAATCAGTTTGCGGCATTAGCCGAGTCGAACGCCGAAGAACGAACCGACGAGCGAAGGAGCGTAATAACTCTCATAGGCAACGCCTTGCGTTTATTAAGCTGCGACATCAACTTCATTGGGGCCGGCTGCTTCGATGCAAGGCGGCGACGCGTTTGCGATACGAACAGAGAATAAATAGCTTCTTAAACTTACCAATATATTGAAATAAGAAAAGAGGGCTGAGCCGGAGCCTTGAGCGCGAAGGGACTAATTTAAATTACGTTTAATTTATTTTAGCTTTTTATTTGGGCGCTTTAGGTGGATGCTGTTTAGCTCACGACTCGAAGCTACTTAGTGCCGTAAAGGTCGGGACGAAGAAGCACCGGGTTTCGTCATACTTTCAGCCAGCTGGCCACTGCTGTTGGCACTGTTGGGAGCGTGGCAAGTGCACTGCGACGGGCGCGGCACGTGTTGCGGGTCTTGCCAAGACATCCAGATGCAGTCGTTGTTCCTTGGATATCCGGCGGAATCGAAAGTGTCGTCCATCGGTGGCACTGCTTGGTCAATGTACGCCTGCAGTTTCTTCATGAGTCGCCTGAGGACCTGTACCAAAATAGAGAATCTTTAACGAGCATGAAAACGTAGTGGCCCTTCACTTTTTCATACGCGCTGCTTTCCTCGCTTCCCATACAAGGCTAACCAAGAGGTCGGGGTAACCTCAGCCCGTCCGTGCACGGACCCGCCGCCACTGCTCCTCTCCAATTTTGGCGGGGATTGAGGACTTCCTTACGGCACCACTGAGCGCATGTTAATAATAATAATAATAGTAATAATAAATATTTTTATTTCCATGGATCGTGATAATTGGACCCGAGAAAAAAAATTGCGGTGGCTTAGATTGCTATGCCAGGATATAAGTAGCGTGAGTTTATGTGCACGAAAGGAGAGGCGCTATCAAGCGGCTCCGGTGCAGCGTCAAACTTGGCTACTGCGCAATGGAGGCGCACAGCTGGGAACGCGGCGGCGCCAGTGCGCCTGCCGCGGCTATGACGTCACTCCTCTAGAATGCGCAGACCGGCGAGGCGGGCGCGGCGGCGGCGAAGCGCGCGGTGACGGCGGCTCCGGCGCGCCAGCTGTGCGTCGTGTGACATCACTGCTCCTCGCGTATGCGCAGCACAGAGTACGGCTCATCACGCGAACCACGCGAAACTGCTCAACCTCGGCCAGTGTAGCTCACGCTACAAAAGCTGCAGTATGCAGATTGACTGGTTCTCGGGCCCTTACAATGGTCAGCAGCAGCAGAACGGAAATACAAAACGAGGTTCACCCCTACCCCAAAACTGGACTGAATCAGCGGCGTTCTGCCGCTTCTTTACTGCGACTGCAACACGTTGGACTGTAGTAACAGCAACGATAAACTTTCCTACCTTGCTCGTGTTAGTGCGCGCGTTTGTTCGTGTGTGTGTGTGTGTGAGTGATTTTTAATGCGTTAGCGTAAGTACCCACATGACAGAAAAGCTGACGGCGCCCGTCTGTGAACAATGCAATGGAAAGAGAAGCGCGCCGCGTAGAGAGGAGGAGAGTAGTGAAGGACAATGGCGAGAGGGAGGCGGTGTCACGGGGCGCAAGCCAATGAGAGCGCGGATGCTGGGGCGTGTCCACGGTGTAAGATAATACTCTTCAGGTGAGGACAGCGCGCTCCTCGCGACGTGCAGATAAAGTTCGCTTTTCACTCTCTTTCTTTCTCTCTCTCACTATGGTTTCAAGCGGCGCCGGCAGATGACTCGTCGACCCGTGAGCACGGCAAAGACGGCTCGTGCCGCCTCATGCTCCACACGCGCAGAGCTCCAGCGAGGTTGTCGCACGTGCAGAAAGACCACGGTGTACCGGGGTGTCATGGCAACGAGATAATGTTTTTCGCTCTCACACAGTTCCTCCGTTTGGCCGCCGGCGACACTGTCAGCCGCGGGCACGGTGTCCGCGGAACGATGCAGCCTTTCGGATGCCCGTCGAACAAACGTTATCTGATTCCTCGCGCCGGGCGTTCAGCCCCGCCGTGTCCTCACCTAAAGAGTGTATCTTAAACCGTGGGCATGTCTAAACTTGCAGCAACGTCAGGCAGCGGATGCCGCTGCTTAGCGTGCAAGGCCGGCGACCGAGACGGAGGAGCGGATGCAGCGCCCAGCTCGGCTGCCCGAAATGCGGCGCAAGAAGCGGCAAGCCGACGCAGGTCTGCCTGCGAAAAAGCTAGAAAAAGAAAAAAGATTCATTCGTGCATTCTTAGTAAACGCTTTGGCGTTGTTACCCTTGGGAAATACAAACACCGACCCCGTATCGAAGCCGAAAAGTTACGACGGCAAAAGATCGACGAAGCAAAAGAAAAACCCAAAAGATAGAGCCAAAACAGAAAAGTGGAGGGGTCAGTATTACCTAGCGTAATACTGACCCCTCCAACACATTATCATTACTGAGGGTCATGATAATGTGTTGCTTAAAGATGCACCAAAGAATCTTCCTTTAATATTTTTTTTTACTTTATATTTTTGGTGGCTGGTGCATTGGCGTACGGGTTTTCACACTTCGGCACAGCCTTGCACGCCACCCAATATAAAATTATTTGTAAATATTACTAATATCAATATTATTTATTATTACTTTTATTACTATTATTTATTAGTATTAATATTAATAATAATAATAATAATAATTTAATTGACAGTCCTGAGACACAAATCAGTGGTAACGGGTCCGTCAAAGCCTGTAATGGCTTGTGGGACGTGACCCGGCAACGGCGTAAAAGAAAAACAACATAGGAATTCGGAATATAAACATATATCACTACAACAAAAACTACAACTCACATCGAATGCACGAAAAAAAAAATGTAAACATTTCTACACTGGCAACGCAGCAAAAAAGAGCCAATACAATAAAACGCTGTAGCACAATAACGATGTCTAACATTTAGTACTCAGAAATTTTTTTAACTGGCGTTTAAAGTTTATATTGCGAAGTGGTACTGTCAATTTGTTAAATATATCAGGAACAGAAAATGACCGCTTTCTTTTTCCATATTTAGTGTATACTCTGGGGATCGCAAAATGTTCGCTGTAACTCAGTGAACGCCGAGTTGTACGTGCAATTTTAAAAGGACTATTCCAGTAATGTTTTTCTATGACACATCTTTCGAAGAGTGCTGCAAAACGAGGGAGATGAAAAAAAGGGAAAAGACTGTCAGATGGGATGTTAGTACCGTATGCTACACCTTTCAAAATTACTTTTAGAATACTGTCAATTTTGTTTTGCCAACCCAAGGAACAGTTAGCATGAAGAGTAATACCGTAGCGCAGCACACCATAAGCCAGAGCATTTGCTGCCATTTTCGGACTGTGAAAGGCAAAAACATTTTTGTTGAATGAAGCAAACGTGAAACACTACGTAGTTTTTTAGCAATATGACAAAGATGGGAATTCCAGGAGAGATCACTATCGAACAGTATTCCCAAATACTTTGTTGTACTAACATTACTAGTATTAGTAGTATTAGTATTGATAATAATAATAATAATTTATAATAATGATTCCAAGATTATGTCTCATCGTTCAGAAGGCCGTTTTACCATTGTAAAATATTTGCTTCGGCTCTCTATGGCTTCGTACAATTGAGGTTCCTGGCGACAGTCCTTCGTCTACACAAGGTGTAGAGATCGTCTGGGTCGACTACTCAGTCGAGTGCAATACCACCGCTATTATGCCGGTGGTCGGTCTCATCCTGGCGAAATTACTTGCGAACTAAAACACATACGGCTCTCCATCGAATTCCTCTTCAGCCAGACTTCTACGGGTTGTCATCGGCGCCTTCGTCAATATATGTGTTGCGGTCTTTATGTATACGAGTAATTTTGTGCCTTCAAATTTCTTCCAATGAGTTCGTGCTTTTATGTTGCAGCCTTTGCATCTTCTTCCTCATCGCTGTGCCTTGTAAACTGGGCCTTCCAGTTTTTATCATGTCCCCACCTCCTGCTTGAGGCGTGTGTGGTGTGTGTGCGCCGACGGATGGTAGATGTTTAAAGGACGTGGATAGCCATAGTTTCCTTCACTTGGGTGAATGTTCCCGGATAGCCGAGGTTACCTTCACTACGATGGGATCAGCTAAACAAGAAAAGTGGCGCTGCAAGACCGATCGCAGGAGGGACAACCCCACGGGCCCTGGAAACAGAGAGTATAAACCTCGCTCTGTCTCCGCGCAGTTAACATCCGATAACGAAAATCTAGATGCACTGCTGTCGTTAATGCAGAGCGTTGATTGGCTTTTTATGCTTCCAGCGAAAGTCGATGCCTTCTTGGTCTTAAAACCCAGAGGTGAGTTGCTGCGGACAACCGTCCAAGAGGTCCAGGAGTCCGTTGTCTTCCTGAGTGCTCTGTACGACATGGTTTTAACTGAAATTACTGTACTAAAAAAAAGTAACCAAGGACCTCGGGGTGGAAGGCAAGTCACTCCAAAACACAGTGAAGGAGCAGGCAAATTCTATAAACCTGCTTCAGGCAGAAGTGAATGAGACCAAGCAACAACGTCGTTTACCTAATATGGAAATGCAGGGTAGGCCTTCCACGTCAAAAAAAGAAAACTTGAGCATGGTTTTCTGTGACCTAACATCGGCCTGTCGCAGTTTACGCCATTGCCTGTTCTTTCCGTCTACCGCCTACCCCCGAAGAAGGCAGACAAACTAAACACTGCTCCGTTAATACTGGTCAGGTCTGCGTCGGTTGCCCTCAAGGAGCAATGAATGAGTTGCCATGGGTGACTAAGAGAGCTTAACAACGTCGGCAATCAGCACAAGTCATTCTTTTTATTCTTTAATTATAACCTCTCTCGTTCCAACCTTGAGTTTTTCTGGATTGCGAGGAACAAGGAAAAAAAAGGTCAATGCAAGTATATCGGGGTAATACATGCACACATCTAAGCAAGAAAAAGTGAAGGCTCACCTCCTCTACAGATTAACTCTGTAGGGGATATTGCAAAAAATCGTTTAAGCTATGAGAGACACTTTTTCGCGGTGTAAATATTTTTCGGCTTTTCGAGCTTCGCTAGATAGACAAAAATGTGTGACTTTTACATGTTTGCATGTTAATATTCAGTGCATTCGAAAATATCGGAATGATCTTCTCATAACGGTTCGTAATACGATTTTTATACCGATGCACTTATACTTACGGAAATTAATGTCTCGGACTCTATGCTTTGACAATACATTCTCAAAGACTACAGCGGGTGTTCAGATAAGGACGGTCATGGGTGGTGTCATGCCTATATTTTTGTTTTTAATCAGATTTTTATATGAGGTAGCGAAAGCCGTCCACACGACGGAACAGACCTTACTTTAGCAAGATACTTTCTTACATTCGTGAAAAAAATCGCATTCGAGAGGAGGTGGAAAAAACTATCTTCCCAACTGCGCCGTCACGCAATTCTTAAGGTCGGAGGAATAAATAATAAAAATTTCTACAGCGTCATATCTTTTTACGTTTAATGCACGCATACTTTTCTGCCAGAATTTGTTAAATTTATCTCACTTAAAAACTTATTATAAGCTTAGTAACCTT